AACAACTGTCAGTGGTGCTCCCTACGGACCTCCAGCTCTCACTATAGAGTCTGCAGAGCCGAGATTGAGTAACATCTTTTTAACTTTGAGCTGAGTTATCTCCCCCTCCGTCAAAGATAAGCATCCGATAACTTATATGACGACCAAGACGACGGTAATGATGCTGGGAATGAGGAAAGATAATGCGGTACCAAACGCTACAACGGTAGTCAGAGAAGCCCTCGTCAAATCACAACATGTGCTGCCCACCGGCGGGCAAACAAAAGCCCACGAAAGCAAAGTAAAAGTCCCTTCCGCCATCATAAAAAGCAGATCTCGTCTTGTCTATATCATCGTCGCTACTAATCTTGACTTCCGAATCTACCAGCCAGGAGGTCATCTGAAATATATGAGTTACTCGACGACCCCACGTCCGTAACGATTTTTGGATGCTAGACTAGGCTCCTTCACGACAGTCACTCTCGACCAAGACTTTTCTAACATCATTTCACGACCTTCGGTTTGTCCTGCGGCATGAATCAGGGGAGGAGTAAGAAGGAGGCTAGGTAGGTTGAGAGACGCTCTTAGGTATACACAGGTCTGCTGCGCCCGGCTGGCCGGCCTTCTCGTCACAGGAGAGCACCACACCCAGTGGTTTTTGAGTTTTTTTCCTACAGCTACACACCCGCAAATGGCTATCGTTTCGTTGGCTAGATGGGGGAGATATTGACGGGATAACGGCTCTTCTTAGTGTATACTCGAATCAAGACTTGTGGGGGGAATTCTGCTGGAAAGAAGTCGTGAAGGAGGCATAGGAGGCATAGGAGGGAGTACACTACCCGAGGCATAGATACTCCCGGCCTGTGGGCAGAAAGGACCCACATCTCCTTACACAGTTATAGACTTCATAGGACAATAAAAAAATACACACATACTAGATCTAGATCTATGTAAATGTGATTTTGCTCGGGTACAAACGCGACGCGTCGCGTCACTTGAACCTTATATAAGCAATTGAAGTGAATATAACGAAATTAAGAATGACGCCTGTAGGCGAACATATCGAGTTCAACTACTATCAGCACAGAAGAAAAGTTCCAAGAGTAGACTATCCACGATACCAATGTGGATATCCGTCCCAAAATTTGAAGTACATGGTCATGGCTTGCACTAACTAAGCCAAAAGAAGAGGAGAAATACTGAGAATGGCAGAAAATCCGTCACTCGACGCCATGATGAACAACCCAAAAGATATAGCAAGGATAACCATATGGATCCAGCAGGAAGAGCAGCTACAACAGTTTCAACTGACGCTTGAAGTCAAGGCCACAATGAGGGAGAGAGAAGAGAGTAGGGGAAATGTGATATTCTGCCGGTAACAAAGAAGTAGACGGTATCTGCACTGGAAATAACAGTGTTAGTGCACTTCTTGAAGGTAACACCATATCAAACTGTGAGCAAATTGGAAAGTTGAGGAGGTCTTTACCACAATGGCTTCACCCCATGTAAATATTAGAGTTTGCAGACACCTACATGGCCTTGTGGGGCGATAGATCGGGCTAAATGAATTCAAATTCAAAATGACGCCTGTATTGTAATTTGTTTGCTAGACCTGGCGGTATAGCTTATCACAGTTAGAGAGTGTATTCTGGAATGCAGTGGTGGCTCGTTACAGATGCGATTGCAACAATACAATTGAGGGTTGTATGAAAGTTTGGCACTTCTATGGGCCTCAATTGTGTGGAGGTTGATTTAATTATTGATGATAATTGCTTGTTATGTCTATCTACAGAGAATGTGCTACAGTTCTACATGTGCCCGTAATCGCTTAGATTTGGCTAGTGGCCTGTCCCCTCTTTTACTTCGCTCCCGTGTTCTATCACATGAGATGTAATAACTGCTCACCACAAAGTCCGCAGATTGAACATCATTAGATCACAACAGCCTGTAGGGGGGCCGGACAAACTGCGGATCTAGATCGATGGGGCAGCAGCATGTAAGAGCATGCTACGAATTGGACGAAATCCCGGTCAAATCAGAGGTGGATCCAGCGGCCTCAAAAATACGATACGGCTGATCCCGAAATCTAGAGAGCAGTGGATTCTATCGATGCCGCCATTCGGGAGGCTCTTTCAGTCTTCAGGGATCGCCATTATCTCTTCGCCGAAACCCCCCAGGGGCCTAAAGCATTCTAGCAATGCAGATTCGAGGCCATCACATTATCTACAAGTCGTACTTACTCGGAAAGTACTAGGAGTCTACAGTCCAAGCTTCCCATGCGCCCACCAATCTCAGAATACCAACCAGATAAATATGTCGTGACGACGACGGTCAGAGAGTGGGAGACATGTTTGGAGAGAAGCCAAGTATTGATCCTGTGAAGCAATGATAAATAAATTTTGTGATATCTAGAGGATAATACAGTGGATCTCAGGAAACGGTGGCCGAATTCCACGGGTAAACGCTGAGCTGAATGGCAATTTATCAAGGGCAATATATCAATGATCCTTCAAGAAACGTGAGAGGCAAGGAGCACTGTACAAGGTGTAGCCTGTGTCAGAGAGTAGCCTAATGTGCTAGATAGTCATAGACTCAAGTAGTACAATAAAAACACACACAGTTGATCTCAGATCATGGTTGGATACAGCAATTCCGCATGACAAAAACAGCCGAATTTCCGCTGAGGGAATGAAATGGAGCGAGATATGTTGAATTCAATAGAGATGCGACTGTCTAATACGGATGGCACTTTAAAATAATTGTGTTGGGCCTTGAACGTCGTTTGGGCTTAGTATGAAACCTAAGCGTGTTGTTGGAGATAATTACGATGCTACTGAATGGGAAGGAATAGGAAAAGATGGATAAAGTATCAACACAAGCTAGGAGGTCGGAGGGCAGGGAAAGAACGCCTGTTCGCAGTTGTTATAATAACGAGGTCATGAGGGGACAGAGGAATACCTGAAATGGATGCAAATGATTATGGATGCGCGGATATAATTGATATGGCTGTAGTGAGAAGAAGCGTTGGAATGGACAGTAGTGAGATGGTTAATTTACAACTTACCTGCGGAAGTATTGCTTCCTTATATATACATTCAGTACCCCAGTCCTGATCACGCACTCACCACAGGTGCTTCCTACTTCTGTCACAGTAACCGCTTCCATAGCCCCTACCAATATCTCCTGTCACAACATACTATTGACACTGGTTGCTAGTGTGGAACTCCCGGGATTGCAGAGCTATACACCGTCGTCACATTATATGCTGTTGCCCCTCGGTAGCCATCAGAGTGATGTGCGCCTCAGTCTAAACGCATTGATCCACCAGGCAACGCTCGGATGTAGGGATGTTGCCAGAGTGATTAGGTACTTAGCTGTGCTGCCAGTGCCCTAATCTCATCTAGCTTCCTGCGGCCGAGTGTCCGAGTGCCGCGATGGTGGGAGCCCGATGAGGCTCGATCGGAGCTGACCCGAGGTATTCACAACAGCAGTGCCCTCTACAAACCTAGGAGTGGAATATCCTCCCAAAGCCGAGTTCAGTCAAATTTCGCAATACCGAACAAGTCGGCCCACGAAGCAATGATTAAATTCTCCCAACCAACAAGATCGATGCCCACCAACACCTCATCGAGTCTACAAGTACGGCCAAGTACATCCTCATTCCAGTGACCACACCTCTCTTCGACCTGCTCTGTCTCCAGCTGGCCACAAAATTTACGCCTGCCATGATAAAACTTTCCACAGGAGGACAAGAATCGTGGCGCACGTGTTTAGGAGGCAGCTTTTGGGATGGAGGTGAGAGAGATCACGTCAAGTTTACAAGGTGATCCAGGGGATGGATACAATATCGAAGGAAGTGAGATTACGAATTTTGGCAAGGAATTATACACATTGAGCTTTGTGCGTGCCAAGACTTCGATTGAGAGAGTACAGACAACACTATAAACACCGCCATGAATGGATGATACAATGGTATTTGATTTAGGCCGATCTCCTCGATAGATTCTGCATAGCTTGGAAACACATCCCACTTGAGACAGGGGATCGCTGGTTCGAATCCGGCAAAACATAACCACATTTCTCGCGATGATATGATGCATTTATGACAAAGGTTTTGAAACTCCTATATGGCGGGTACTAACGGAGGAGGGACGGACGGCATTTTGTGTCAGCAAGCAAACCTTATTGTGATATTTCAAACGAAATCCAGAGTATGAGTGTTTCTAATGCGAAAAGATTCATCCAACATGTATACATAGCATTAATCATGTATTACAGATAGATAACTGATTACACGTCAAATTATTTAAAAAAAAGATTGAGGGGTCACTACTCTCTTGGTATCACATGTCCTTCTAAGCTTTAAAATTAGACATGACAATTAGTGTAGAAGATAAAAGATCCTGAGTAGCTATGACTCCGTGCTCAGTATTATCATTTTGATTTGGATAGTCAGTCCGTTATCCTCAGGAGAAGTTCAAAGCTTTGCATGGCGCACAATTTAAACCAAATAATCAATATTTTTATTCAAAGTTTTATACCCTCCAACGTCCCAAAATTATATGACCTCTTCACCTTTATATTTTCTTTTGGTTGCTAATGTGCACAAAATAGAGTGGATTTTCCTATTTTTATATAGTACAAGACTTTATTTTACAGAAACCCCACAGCGCGTTGGAATACTTTGGGGCAACGTCTTTAGGGCCATACATCTATTCACCTGAGCCCACAAATATTTTGACGTCTGATTGCTTCCGTACAGCAGACTCACATTGTAAGTGCTGTGACGCAGACTAATCGGAGGTTTGTCTTCTAAGTATCGTATAGATCAATAGCCCCCTAGGTGTGCGTCGACACTCTTGAAATAATTGGCCCTGGTCTTGAAGATGTTCTTATTTAAACAAATACCATCCGATGCTTTTTTAGGATGGCTGCGCAAATATTCGGCTAGCATAGACAGGAGTGTTCACTAAAAAAGATCATTCCCGTGCAGGTACAAAGCAAAACTGGATGGTGCTTCATTAGTCGGAGCCTAGCATTGCTGGAGCCTTGCGTTTACGACGTATGATTGGTCTATGATCTTGATTTCCAAAAAAAAGCGGAAACTTAATGTCAAACATGCACACGAGGTTGATAACATGCTTTGTTGTAGTCTTTCTTGGAGTAGGGAGGATATAAACACCTTGAGCTGAATTATTGCCTACCTTTTGTCTCCGACTTATTTGATGCGTAACAGCGACGCCACGAACTTCATTTTGATTATTTGTTATGATTTCGTATTTAATTTTGTCTACTTTGAGATATTTTAAGTAGTTATATTTGCTCATGAACTCAAAAATCTTACCTGTATTTTCCACGGGGCATTGCTTGATCAAGGTCGCCCTATTCCATGGACCATCATCTTGATTTGACGTATCCTTCACTTCCTTAAATTTTTCCGGTGAATTTAATAAATATCTTAACGCAGATTCTTGAATCTCTCTAATATCAAATGACAAAGATCCACATTGTAGGGACGACATTATGGGGAGTTGCTCGGTCTCCGATGTCGAACTTTTGGGAATCTCTGGTACTTTTTCACAAGAATGAAACTTTTTTGATCTAGTATTGTAATAGACAACATCCTTTAGCTCACAGCTATTATCAAAGATGATTTTATCCGAAATAGGTCTAACTCTCCCTGTAATCATACTTAGCGAATCAGGACTTTTGGTTGAATTTAAGATTATATTTAGGAGAGGAGTTCTCTATATTCACCGCCGGAACCTACACGTCTAGGTGCAGGAAAAGACCATTCAAATATCATATCTTCGTTTTCAATTTCTTCAAAGTGAACGACAGGCCGTCGCGCTTTCGGGCTCGGCAAAACGAAGCTTCTACAAGCTGTTTTACGAAGTTTCTCGACTTCAGTGAATAGATATCTATTATTATTACAGTAATATCCAGGTTCATCTGATTTGTCCCTTTTGCGAAGTGTCCATGACGCATGAACTGATACTATAAGCATAAAAAAGGCGGCTATTGTCCAGGGAGACTGGAACCTAGATTTGTGATGTAGGATTTTCATGTTTGTTGATTGTCAATTTGGTACTTTGCAGCGATGAAGATGGTGTAATACGAAGAATGAAGTAAATAATTTGATATGGAGTACTATCACAATCATCCCCGTACTCGACTATTCGTGGCATTCTCAAGTGGAAGATTGCTCATTTTTTAAATTCCGGACAGTCCTTTGGGTTCTGGATCAAAGGATTCCGGAAACTTGGCGTTGGACATTCCCTCTGACGTGTGACTCGCAAGCGGAGCCTTGTGTGGGATCTTGTCAATAATCTCAATGCAGGCCTCCCAGAGCACACTCACCACTGATTCGCCATAGTGCTGTACCAATGTCTCTAGATGTAGAAATATTCATTATTGGTACTACGTAAATTTTATGAGTGACGCTAAATTGGTTGATTGTTATTTCAACATGCTAGGAACAAGACCTGCATCTAAGTCAACATGACACGCGTAGTTCATACCGTAAGAATAAATGCTACCAGACGATCATTTCAAGAGGAATTCAAAAAAAAAGGAATGCTTGGTGGCTGGGAGAGGACAAAGATTGAACTTCTGTCTTCGGTGTCCTCAATGATCCTAGGAATGACATATTTCCCCAATGCCAATTACGGTCCAAGTTCGCAATACCAAAGAAGTTGGCCCACGAGGCGATAAATTCAAGAAATTCAAAGTCAATCTTTCACTACCAACGAGATCGATCCGCACCAACATCTTGTCAGGCTTACAGGTACGACTAAGTAAATCTTCATTCCAATTACCACACCTCTCGTCGACTTTCTCTGGCCTCAGATGACCACCAAAATATACGCCCAAGCCGATATTTACACCCGACAGAGAATACAAAGCGTGGCGCACAAATCTCGGAGATAGGTCTTTGGAATGGTCGTGATAGCGATCAGGACAATTTTATACTGGAGATATTTCGCAAGGAAATGAGTGCAATATTTGCGGAACTAAGAGTAGAAAGGAGAGAAAAGCGGGAGGTTTGCGCTGTAAGTACAAGCGCAAGCGACACGGAGCCCAAGCCACAGCATTGTGGGTACTGGTAAGTAATTGAGATTGTTATCGCTCGGGACTCACAATATCAGATTCTCGGGATGATCAATATCGAAGTCTAAAATAAGCAGAACGCCGTCTAGCCTCTCTCCTATCAACTACTGCGCTCTATATACATCCTATGCTATTGCCTTAAGCAGCGATCCGGTCTTCTCTGACTAGTGGTAATATGACGCTAGTACCTCGCCCCCAGCTCCCGATTATCTGCGCTTTAGGATTCCCAGCATGAACGATAGTGGCGCCATCTAAACATAGATAACCCCCAAATAGTCTCCTTTTGCTCACGCCATACAGTCGCTCGTGTATCCCTTAGATGGCCTGAAGCGCTACCACATTATCCATCCCAACCTCTTAAATACACACAAGATCGTGTCGGGAAGCTAGAAGAAAAGGAGGGCCCGTACATCCATGACACTCTGGGTCTCTATTTCCAACAGTTTACTAGATGACAAAGAGAATTGATTTCAATTTGACGGGTGTGAAATTTTGAAATTTTCCAGGAAAATGTAGAAATTGAAGAGCATTGTCCGCGCAAAGCTTCCGATTTCGAGAGAGCAGCCGACACTGTAAACAAAGGTCAACGATGGAAGGTGCCGTTGTCTGCCTCTCGGTGGTGCTCTCCAGTATAATCGTATTAGCCTGGGCACCTACTTCACTTGGGAAGGAGATATATCAGATCACGTTTCGCGCGGACAAAATTCAATAGATGATGAAGGCATATCCAGAAACCCGGGGATTTTGAGATGTTCCTCTGGGTGGGTATTCACGTGTGAGGGTTGACTTGGGGTGAAGAAAAAGCTACCATAACTTCGCAGTGGTACTTGCAAATGAAATCTAAGGCATGAGTGCTCTTCCTTTATCCTGAGTCATCTTTTCTATACCATTTCTCCGATATTGTGTCATGACTGGAAATCTGCATACGCAATTCAAATCTGAATGAATAAAAAGAGGTGGATTGAGCGTCATGAGTGTCGATTAGGAGTAGCCAGTGATATCTTTTCTCTTCACGTATGTCACGGGCTCAGTACAATAGTTTAATTACAAATCTCAGAGGCAAAATTCTAGATAGCTAGACTACAAACAAATATACACTCTAAGATAATCCTCTTCCACAAGCTTCTCCCTATGACTAGAATAATATGGACCGTTGAACAATTCCCTAGAAGATTCTTGGTACACCTGTCGTCCTCATGAACCTTCAGTGAGCTTCCAGAAGGTTCATTGAGAATCTTCTAAGCTGCTTCTTTTCCAAGATCCTTCCCGAAGATTCCCTTGTTTTCATAGCCTACGCTAGCCAGCGTAGGCTACAGGAATCTCTAGGCTTAACCGCCGCTACTACGTGGTTCAATCACGACATGTTCAATACTAACACGGTTTCTATCACACTGCGCCAGCTGAAGGACAAAGTAGAAAACTCGAGACATAGAACATATGGCCCTGAGGCTTTGCTCCGAGGAACTTCCTCCTACGTAAATAAGTTTCACTGACACCTGTACAGGCCCATTGACGCTGAATGAGGATGATGAAATTATATCAATCTGCTTTTGTGTAAGAGCCGACAAAGACGGATTCTTCACCTTCCAGCGGTGCCGGTGTGATGGCTCAGTATCATCTGCATGTCTGGGACAACCAAGAGGAATCGAATCCAAATTTACGTCGAAGGCAAACTCGAGCATACCCGTTGTCGACGCCTTCTCATCAGTGTGAGCCCTACCTTTCGCACGCGAGTTCTCCTACTCAATCTTATAATATACCAATTAGCCGCAACGACCGATGAAGGAGCTGCTCCAATTGCGAACTGGGGCTTGCCTCATAGATTACAAGCCATCTCACCTAATAAAATTACGACATTATGTTTACCTGCAAGGAGGAAATCAGTCATAATATACAAGGCCCAGGTCTACGTTTATGGGGGAACAGTTTCTCTCGTGGGTGTCTATCTCTTGAGAGTGGGAAGAGCCTGTAGATGGGCATCCTAGGACTGACATTTCCAAGGTTTTTCCGACTATTGAACGTTTGTGGGCACCGAAACCAAGGTTTCAACTAATTAGCCAAGAGGACTTCAATTACCTATCAGTCTGCGGCACTCTCTAGTACCCTAGATGACACTGATAAGTTGGGCTAAGCTACTATACAGCAAACACTCTCTGACAAGACTTTTCGGAAATTTCAGCACGACCTCCGGGAAGGAGTTGGAGGGGGGCTATAAAGGCAGAGGGTGAATTCTCCGACATACCCACAAGTCTGGAGCGCCCAGCTGGTCGAACTCTTCGAACGCTACAGAAGAGTCGCTATGTTTTCAGATCTAGTCCTGATGTCGATTATTTGAGGGCCAAGCATCAAGTGCTTTTTGCAAATTTTTTCAGATGCAATACATTCGCAAATGGCCATCGTTTGGCTAGCTGGGGAGGGGAGGTATGAAGGGCAAAGGGTTTTCCTAAGTGTACAATTGAATGACAACTTTTGAGGGTTGGAACTGCTCGAGGAGAGCTGTATAGGAGGCATAGGAAGGGATATGCTACTAGTATTGGTGTCCTTAGCCTGTAAACAAAGAGACCTACATTTTAGGTATAGACTCAGGCTGAAAAAAAATAACTCTCAACTGGGATAGTATAGGATTCACGTACTATTGTTAAGCTCTTCACAAGAGCGGTCATAGTTGGGAGACAAGAAAAATCACTTGATGGAACTTATAATTTCTTACGATCACCTCGCCACTATCTTGGCTCATCATGCGCGCTTGGAGGCCTCGACGGACTCAGGATAGTGCTTTCAGGATTGCTATTACTAAAAGTGGCATTTTATAGAAACGACGAGACTTGTACTAAGACTTAAGCTGCAGTCATATTTCCCATCCACGCAGTATCTTCTCATTATTATTCGTATTCTGGCAGCCAGGCCTCTTCCTGGTCAATTCTATCCTGTCGATACTCGTATCGGGTCCATACGTTCCTTTTCATTTCATCTAGAGAACTTCGATTCTCACAACATCGGTACACGCGTTATATCACAGATAGTGTATCTAGCCCTACAAAGGTCTAACTTGTCATCAGCCTGTACTAAGATTCAACTTTACTTTATGGATATAAATTCCCTTGGTAACCCATGTCATTCTGCGAGGTTTCTCGAAAAGTTCCGCGTCCGTTTAGAACCCCGCCAAATTTTCATGAAATCTATCGCCTCTGTAGAAGTAGAGCTTAGATCCAGATAGGGACTAGACCGTTAACAAAGTCTATCGGTTGCACATTTATCGTGAGGATAGCACGTTGATTGTTGAATAAAATGAAATTCGACGAAGTATCAGCGAAGCTACCATAAAAGGAGAATCCACTTCCATGATTGAAGAAGCCTGACTATCCATCACAGTTAAGAATCAATTTTTCTCGATCAGTCTATGAGGTGCCCGTGAAGGTTTTCTTTAGTTGTCTCAGGCCAGGGATCCTGCTACCCCATCCCTCCGGGCTATCACTTTCGATGAAATCACACAATGGCGGGTTTGCATTTACACTGCAGTCCGGAGGATGATCTAGATTTTTTATCATGACTACTTGGAAGGCCCTTTTTGCTCTCTCTATCCGGACATAATAAATTTCAGGTTTCAGTCCTTTAAAGTATTCAGAAACTGCAGAGCCAAATATGGATAGATTGCGCACCTTTAAAATAGAGTTCTCCACTTGTAAGGAGTGGATAGTATATATATTTCGCGTTATTATCCGCAAGGGGATGTTCTCTTGCCTGTGGAACGAATTTTCTGACTGCTAGCTTCACAGTTTCTAGTACGTAGTCCTGAGTAAATTTTACTCCGTTGCAGTCATACAATGGATAGCTGGCCGAAACTTTCGGACATAGAATCAAGGTTACAATAATCAAAGCATAATCGAGGAATATCATCCTGAATATATCTGGTTGTTTGTATTATTCTTGAATGGAAGCCTGGTTTACGGACCTTGTTGATATCCTGAAGTATCGGTTTTACAATGAGAAGGGTATAATAAAGTTAGCTGTTATTGGAGTTCTGTTGTGAAGTAGAAACAATTCTGGCGATCTGCATTCATTGATAAACCTTTTATTTAAGTTGTAATATCTCCTGGTAAAATATCTAATTTGAAAGTGTAAAGGCTTTGTTGTGCAACATAGCCACCTCCAAATATCTATATCTGCAATCGAAATTTAATCTACGAATAATTGGAGCCTCCGCACAGTTGTGGGATTCTAAGCTTACATGATAGTGTTTATAGATTGAATCCATGTGGCTGAGAATCCTAAAGCTGACTCTTTTAACCAGCAAGTTGACATATATCTTTATCATATAGCAACGCTGTCAGGATCTTAACACGTAAAATTATAAATCATGCTGCAGTGCACTGCAGAGAAGCCTGGGATTCTCCCCTCTCGGGCTTATTCTAGGGAAAAGCTCCGTAATATCCAAAAGTAATTTGTTCTAAATGAGGATCGATCTAGAAAGATGCCAAAGGATTTTGGAGTTCAGAAGGCAAGGAGGGAAAGACCATGTATTGGAATTTAGAGCTATTAGAGGAGTTGCACAAGCTGAATTTTCGAATTCATGAAACGGCCGATAAGCTGATTGGTTCTTGTAGCCTATGTTGGGAAACATAGGCGTGATCCGATGTGTGTGGCTCACTATAGATCAGTCACAATAAGCTAATGTTGGATACCGCAAGACGTAGTAGCTGAGCGGCAGCGTTTGCATGAAACTGACACGGCAGTGCGGTACGATATTTGTGGATATCATGAGACTAGTCGGGTGGAGTCAGTTCACGACAGTTGGGTTGTTATAGCCAGGCATCCTTGAAGAGGTTTACTGAGAAGGTTTCCGAGGAAACTCCGACATTTAGAGATTGAGGGGCTGGCGTCATGACTACATCTGATATAGCCTTAATTGAGTTCTAGTACTGTCTCCAGTCAGATTTAAGGAAGCTGGAGCTGCCATATAATAGCTCTCCAGCTTCTCAATCTTTTATTCTTTTGATCTTTAACCTCGCAGTCTAGCATTTATATGATATTATAATCTTATATTCTTGGAGTCCGATATTCTCATTCTTTTCTTATTCGTTATAATCTTCGTACTTCTGTTGACCTTAAGTTGTCAGACTTGATCGCATACTCCGCAATTCGATTTCTTGACTTCGTGTCTCTCGACTATCCTGTAGTTCTCCGATCCTTCACCACCTGTTGTTGTAATTAAGGCAGCAACATGACTGCAGTAGACAAATAGTACATATTAGAATAATATGCACTGGCGCCATAAGATATGATTAACCCATATCATCACTCACTGGCATGAATAGTAGTTAGCCAATAGATGCCTGACAGCATACATTGGCTTCAGGATCTCCAACAACCTTCCCGTTTAGGTTAGATTAGGAAGTATGTTGGAGTTCACACTAGTGTGCGGAAAACCCCGCTTTCATGTATATAGAGGGACTTCTTGCCACACATATAGAATTATAGCAATTTAATCACAATTAACTATCCATTAAACATCAGTAAACTTCTTCGTATAGTAAACACATTTATCGTATCTCTTAATCAAACTCGAGACTAGTGTGTAATTCTTCCAATCTCCGGAACTAATTTCAATTCCTGTCACCTCGCAAGATAATTTTATGTAAGTATCCTTCGTTAGTAGCTGTAATCCTAAAAGCTATTAATACATTACCTCCGGCAGACGGCGATCTACAGTGTCCTTAGCGCACGCCGTAACATGGGTGATGTTTCACACATCTTTTTGCCTGGGGACCATCGTTTCTGCTCGTCAACGAACATGACTCGGTCCCTAAGTGTTCTACTGACAAGGAATGCGCAATGCTTACCCAGGCTGAAGTTAGAGTAGATGTGTCTTTGTTATGTTGGTTTGTGGTCGTTGGGTGACGAAGCTGTGCCAAGGAGAGAGAGAGAGGGAGGTTTATTGTCCTGTTTGGGTCATAGACTATCTAGCACATTGGGTTCCTCTCTGGCCGAGGCCACAGCTTGTGCAATGCTCTTATTCCCTTTTATTAGTTGTAAGATCATTGATATATTGCTCATGATGAATAACCATGGAGGGCAAGACTAAACACCCGAAAGCGGTGTCCTCTACGAACCTGAGAGAGAAATATTCTCCCAGAGCCAAGTTTAGACAAATCTTACGATCTCAAAGAAGTTGGCCCACGGGGCAATGATTCAAATTACTCCATTATGTCAAATTATCACCCCTAACGTGATCGATTCCTACCCAAGTCTCATCAAGTCTACAAGTACGACCTAGTACATCCTCATTCCAATGACCACACCTCTCGTCGACTTTCTCTGGCCTCAGCTGGTCGCCAAATTCACGCCCACGCCGATATTTACAACCGACAGAGGAAGCGAAGCGTGGCGCAAAAATCTGGGAGACAGTTCCTTGGGATAGACGTGAGATGGATCAGGACAAGTTGATAAGATGATGCAAAGGAAAGATATAACATCGAAGAGCGTGGAATTTTGGAATTTTGGCAAGATTTTTACGAATTGAGCTTTGTGCGCGCCAAGACTTTGATTGCGAGAGTGCAGCTGACACTATAAACACAAGCCAACGATGGAAGGTGTTGTGGTCCGCCTCCCGGTGATGTTCTCTGGTATAGTCTGAGTAGCTTCAGCACCTCTTCCACTCGGAGAGAAGACACCTAAGACCACATTTCGCGCTGAGAAAATTCAGTGGATGATGGAGACAAGTCTGGATAACTCAGGGGTTTTTAGAAGTTCCCCTGGATGGGTATTCACGGATGAGGGTTGATTTGGGGTGAAGAAAAAGCCACCATAATTTCGTAGTGATACTTGCAGATGAAATCCGAGGCATGAGTGGTCTACTTTTAAATTGTGTAATCTATCATGTACTTTTCTTTGATGTTGTGTCATGGCTAGAAAGCTGCATACGCAATTAAAACCTAATACGAAAAAAAAGAGAAAGTCATGTCTATAATAGCAAACTTTTCTGCATTTGTGTAATTTCAATAAATATTCACATCCCAAGCATAACAGAGTCTTCTCTCACCTCCAGGTAGACCTCTACAGCTCACCAGCTCGCATGTCGGCTAGACCAACCACAGTTTCAGTAAAATCTCTATCCGCCCCCAACTCATTTTTTGTAACGAGAGTACTGGGTCATATTTTGGCGGGCCAGCATTGGCAGGGAATACAAGTGGTCGAATGTAGCCTGTATAGGCTGAAGATTTGGCGATTTATCACAGACATGATAGCGCATAAGAAGAGCCGCACAGGTCAAAATTGGAGAGGGAAATGGTCTTCGAAAACAAGGAAGTCTTTTGTATGTTTCTAGAAAGAGCTTGCAAATGTCCTCTCCTTGTAAACGGTACTCGCCACTATCGAGTACAAAATTGTCGTAGCACCTATCCCACAAGCCCCCCAAGCTGTGGTGGTTCAGGCTTGTTCAATTATGACCAAGCTATTCCACCTGAATCATCTCCGCCTTCAAAAAAATCAAACCATGATTCCAAAGGAGCCATGTAATCACAAATGGAAAATCGGGCCTCGCTGAAAGGCGTGAAGATTAATCGGGCAGAAATAAGTAAATCTGATTTTGATTTTGCTTAGTAAGGAGCCAGTGCATAGCTCAAGACCTCAGTCGTGTGCTGGCCAGACTGTCCCTTATCCAACCAACCGACGTTCCTTATTTTTATATTTTCGTATCATCAGATGAGAGGCCCTTAAGTCTTGTGGGACTTTGGTGTCAATGTTGGTGGAATCAAGATAGCAGCATGACATTGCTACCAAAAATACTCACATAAGAACAAAGTGTACGGCTGCCGTGAGATAATATTAACCCATATCATCACACATTGGCATAAACAATCGGAACTCAATAAATGACTGGCAGTAACTGCTGACTTACGGATGTGCGGCTCCCTCTTTATTTAATTCATAGTGTGTTTCGCTATATAGCTATGACACAGTCCTAAAATATTGTACATCTTTAACTAATATTACTGTGGTATTTTCCTTAGTGTTGTGTTGGAAGATGTATAGAGAAGCGTAAGCTGTTAGGCTTGTGTTTAATATCACCTAGTGAAGCGAGTTGGGAGATTGAAGAGTCTGAAAACTATAGTGGAGAGTTGTTGATTAAACCCACTTAGTATCAGAGCGCTATTTAAACTAATTACTACATCTAAGTGAAGGACACAATTCACTAGCTTATGCTAAATAATTGGGAGGCTGGTCAATGTATGAGTCGTCATGAATGTGGCTAGTAATAATAGAACCTTTTTACGTTCCGTGTTAATGCGACTCTTCATTGCCAAGTAGCGCCAATTTCAACAGGTTTGGCCAGATGCAAAACGGCTGGTAACGCAAATTTTCTAGGAATTTCATTGATGAAAAGTCTGTTGTCGACAATTGCATTTTCATCACTTTTTGAATCAAAAATTGAGCCATGATTTCCAACATATCCCCCTTGAGCGTAAAATTTGCGACCGCTGAAGAGATTCATCGGACAATAGGGTAGATATAATACGTCTGTGAGACATACTATTCGCCGGGGGACTTTTCTCAACACTTGTCAGTGGTGTCCCCGACGAGCCTCCAGCTCTCACTGTAGAGTCTGCAGAGCTGAGATTGGGTAAAAAAGTCCTCACTTCGACGAGGATTCCCAATCGCTTTCGCCGTCTGTGTCGTCTTCACCTCTCAACATATTCCCCTATCACCATTATCATGAAGCTAACCACGATCAGATCAGATTGTAGGGTCGGAGCCCTACTCGTCACCCACCCTTGATCATGGAGGAGATGCCATCCGATGACTCTCCGGAGCGTACCCAGCACTCAATACGGCGATGGTGGATTGGATCAAGTCGGCCTCGAATGTTACAAAGAAGGGGGATACAAATGAATATGTGA